ACGTTGCGCCCTGAGGAACGAGGTTTTAAGGCCAAGAGATATCCTTCAAATTGCCTCTGAGGTTGCTTGGGAAGATGGTGTCCTTGTTTGAGGCTATTCCCTATACTCCATTCCACTCCAGACTGCTGTAAAGATATATGCTGTTTGGAACAAAAAGATTCTGGCCCTGGATTACTGAATGTCTCCAGAGGTGCAGCAGAGCCTGAATTGGTGGTTGATCACTCAGTTTTGGAGAAGGGAAGATCCTTTCAGCCAGTGGTGTGGAAGTTTGTAACCACAAATGCAAGCCTTTCAGATTGGGGGGCCGTTCTGAAGAAGATCACAGTTCAGAGAACATGGCTTCCACGGGAAAGGGTTCTTCCCATCAATAGAAAAGGGTTCTTCCCTTCACTGGAACTTGAGCAGTGAGGCTGGCACGGAGATATTGGACATCCAGGCTTCAGGCTTGGCCTCTAAGGATTCAGTCCGACAATGCCACAGCAGTTGCATACATCAACCACCAGGGTGGTACCAAGAGCCAGAGGTGCCCAGAAGGAGGTGAACTACATTCTGACCTGGGCAGAGAAACATGTTCCAGGTCTGTCAGCAGTGTTCATTCCAGGTGTGGAACGTTATCCGGCAGATCATCTCAGTCTCCAACAGTTGATTCCAGGGGAATGGGCTTTGCATCCCGATGTTTTCAAGGAAGTCGGCCAGCAATGAGGTTGCCTGGACATAGATCTATTGGCATCCAGGTTTGACAACAAGTTCAGTCTTTGTGTCCAGAGTAAGGGATTCTTGTGCGGCAGGGGTAGACGCCTTAGTGATCCCTTGCAACCAGTTCTCACTGTTTTTATGCCGTTCCTTCGATCCAGCTGCTGCCGTGTCTCTTATGCAGGATTCAGGAGGAGTCTATTCCTGTGATACTGATTGTTTTCCGGTCTGGTCCAGGAGGGCTTGGTACGCAGACATAGTGAAGATGGCAGTAGACGTATCGGCCAGTCCTGTTGTCTCAAGGTCCCATATTGCACCCAAGCTTTATGGCCGCTAAATTTGACAGCGTGGCTATTGAAACCCAGATCCTGAAGGATAGTGGCGTGTCAGATTCGGTCAACCCCATCATGTTTGGTGCTAGAAAGGAAGTTTCTAGGAGCCTTTTTATTACACAACCTCGAAGGCTCACAATGCCTGGTGTGTGAGGTTCACAGCACTCAGGAAAGTATGTGATTGTCAGGATTCTGTTTCTTCAAACAGGGTTGCAGGGTTGGCTGTTGGTACCATTAAGGGCCAGGTTTGAGCATTAGCTTCCTTCTTTTTTTTTTTTTTTTTTTTTTTCTGTTTTTTTTTTTTTCCCTGTGGCCCATTGCGTCTCACTCTTTGGTGTGCACTTTTTTTTATAAGTAATGTGTATGGCTCCTCCTGTCAGGTTGCCTTTTGTGTCCTTGGGACTTGCTGCCAGAAGGGCCTAGGAAGGGGCAGGCGGCATCCAAGGTGGCTTTCTCATTGGAGCCGCCAATTTATCATTCAAGCCTATGGTTTGAAAGGTAAAGTCCCACCCTTTTGGGTGAAAGCACACTCCACCAGAAGTGTGGGAGGATCTTGGGCAATCCGCCATCAGGCATGTCAGAGCCGCAGAGGATTCTGCTTTTGGCTGCAGTGTTTAACGAGTGGCTGAGAAGGTACTGAGGGATTGATGGCTATCATGGTGTCACCCTCCCATCAAATTTCTTTATTGCTTTGTTACTTCCCACAGTCATGAATTGGTGTCTTATGATGTACGATAAAGAAAACTGAATTTTTAAATTTTTTTTTCTAAATGCATACCTGTAAATATCCATTTCTTGGAGTACATCACGCAACACAGAGGGAATCCACAGAGGTCCCCCCTTTTTGGGAATGTCATTGCTTGCTACAAAAACCTGAGGTTCTTCCTGTATAGGAGGGGTTATATAGGGGGGGACCTTCTCTCTGGTCAGCCAGTGTCCATTCACCTATAGGTGGCCTATAGCCCACATAGTTATGAATAGCCTGCTCTGTGTCCCATTTATGTACTCCCAAGAAATGGATTTTTTTTTCTACAATTACTTGCCTGTAAAATCCAATGATAGTGTGTACTAATTTTTAAATCAAAACACAAGAGTCTCTCTCTGCTATCTGCATGACTCACTCTTATTAGATTAAAGCGGTGCTGCTTCTAGCACTGAATGTCTTGACCACCGTGTGCATGGCATTATGAAATCTGAAGACCAAAGAATTCTGGGGTGCAATGTATGGCCCAGAAAGTTGGGTCTTTGTCAGAGGTCATGGGTCTTGCAGCAGGACAATGACCCTAAACACACATCAAATGGCACCCAGAAATGGTTTAAAACAAAAAGCACTGGAGAGTACTGAACTGGCCAACAATTAGTCCAGATCTAAATCCTATAGAGCACCCGTGGAGAGATCTCAAAACTGCAGTTGGGAAAAGGAACCCTTCCAATCTGAGAGACCTGGAGCTATTGGAGAAAGAAGAGTGGTCCAAAATTCCAGTAGAACGGTGTAAGAAACTCATGGTTACAGGAAATGATTGATTTCAGTAATTTTTTTCTAAGGGGTGTGCTACCAAATATTAAATTGAGGGTGCCAATCCATCTTTAGAGTTTTGGGTGGGATGTGTCAGATTTGGCTTTTTGTTTGTCCACTTTGTGTCATACGCATACAAACGAGAGAAACCTGAGAATGCCTAAACATTAGTTATTACAATGATTTTCTGCGCGAAGTGGTACGTTCTCTGACAGAAATGTAGGGGTGCCAATTTTTTTGGCTATGACGAAGTTTCTCTGAGCCTGTGAAGAGTGGGGTATATCACTTTGCTACATTCAGCTCTCAGGTTACACTCCGCTCTGTGTTCCAGCTCTACAGTGTTTGTCATGTCCCCACCCTCAGTTTTCTGTTGCTGAGGAAAATCCTTTCATCTGTGTGTTGTAGAAGGCTGTACAGGACTGTACTGTTGCTGACCTCTAGAGGTTTTATAAGCCAATGGCAGGCAGCTCCATTTCCTTTTGTGCCTATACCAATCCTTCCTAAGTACCCCCAGCTGGAAGACGCATACACACAAGCCCATAGGTTCCACTCTAGGTATTAAGCTGCTGTAGAGCCTACTCTAGCTATTAAGCTTCTGTATATTTTTATCCTCCATCTCTTACAGCCACCCATTATTTTTGTTTTAGATTGAAAGCGTTAATACACAACTGCTATTGATTATTATCATGTGCAGTTGTTCCCCTGCAGCTCCACATGCTGTGATTCAGATGTTAACATTGCTCACCCATCGCTCTAAGTAACCTTCCAGTTTTCTATATGAACAGTATGTATTCTTTAGCGGGTATAGTACTGACTAGAGCAGGGGTGGGCAAACTTTTTGACTTGAGGGCTGCAATGGGTTAATATATTGGACCCGGGGGCCGGACCAAGAGTAGATGAATGATGTGTATGTCATCCATAGTAAGTATAGTAATATTCCCCCATAGTAAGCATAGTAATTCATCCCCCCTATAGTAATTCATTCCCCATATTAATTCATCCCCCATATTAAGTCCCCAAGTCCCCCCCTGTGTCAATTCACTTACCTTTGCTCCGCGCGTTCCTCTCGCCATGTTCCCGCGCCGTTCCGGTCTTCAGGGCGGACTGTGAGAGGAGCCTAGCTCTCCTCCCCTCACGTTCGTCACGCTGCCCCGCCTACACTCATCCTGACAGCCACATCCGCGGGCCGGATTAAAAGGTCCTCCGGGCCGTATATGGCCCGCGGGCCGTAGTTTGCCCATTGCTGGACTAGAGCCTAGTGGATATATATTCGCTGGGTATTTTCACCCTCGTTCTTTTTTCTGGTGACCACTTTCACTAAGGCAGTCATGCAAAATCCCAAATTTATGTTCTTTAGCAGAAGAGGCACCTGTTCAGTGACGTATGTCTAAATCTGTCCATAGATGCCTCGTCTGGCTGAGCAGAAGAAAAAAAAAAACTGATTTCCCCCATCCCAATGGATGGATGAATCCCTTTCATTGTGCCATTGTATTCTGACAACAAGTCTCCTTCACTGTCAGAATACACCTATCAGTGGCTGCAGCCGGTTGATCGACACAGGTTTTCCAGCAGTCTCATTCATTCCTTACATCAACTTCTGTCAAGCGGAAACGGCCATAGAGGGGATAAAATCCCCTCATGTTGGATTTTCTTTTTTTTCTTTTCCTCTTGCATTACCAGGACAGGAAGTAAAAGGGGTAAACTTCCTTAACAGGACATGGCAAAATTCAACCAACAGGGGTTTTACTGCTTCTAGGGAAAAAAGTTTGCATATATGTCCTGAATTTTGAATGGGTTGAACATAAATTAGCGCAGGATTGTGGATCTGATTCTGAACCCAAATCTTACTCCTGCCATTGGTCATCAGAACCCGCAAGTGGCATATGCTGGAGCACATGTGTCAAACACAAGGACCGCAGAACTAATGCAGCGAACCAGGCCATTTTAATGTGGCCTTTGCACCTCTCCTGCCGCTGTGCACCCCCTCTTCTCTGCCCCCACCTTGTCCCAGCAGTCAGCAGAGAGGAGGACAGCACTCCTACATATCCTGCACTTCGCTTGTCTCTACCTTCCCTAATATCAGCATTCAGTAGACTCCAGCAGCTGACTGCTGCCCTCCTCCAGACTCTGCACTTTTTGCTTCCCAGCTCCACCCCCAGCTTCTTGCAGCAGCACAAGGTGTAAGGGAGGGTGGGGGACTCTTGACTTCTGATGGTGGGGGCCTTTTGACATCTGATGTAAGGGGTAGTGGGGTGTTCTGAACATTTAGTCTTAGATACAACCAGCCCTTTGAGGGCAACTATAATGCTGATACGGCGCTTCAATGAAATTGAGTTTGACAACCCTGTTCTAGACTAAACTCTACATACGGTTTCTTCAATATGTTGTAAATTTGGTTTTTAATGTTTTTGCACTACACATAACATGTACAATTTTTTGTTTTTATTTTCCTTCACCAGATTGACTGTTTAATTCAAAGAAGAATACAAACTGTGTTTAAGGAATCTTTTGACCAAAGAATACAGGATTTATCCCAACAAATCAACCTAATTCAGTGCAAAGAAGATAACACTGATGTACTTACCCAGCAACTTGTATGTTTACTTTTTGCATTTTTCTAAAGCTGGCATAGATTGTAATATTTCTATCAAAGAACTGCATGCTGGTACAGCTCTGCCTGTTATTTTAGGGCTGAGACCATCCAGGGTTAGGTGTGTGACTTGACTGATGGACAGGAGCAGAGCACATGCAGTAAGCCTTTTGGAAAAAGGAAAGGCACTTGGGTATTTCTCTATTCATTGAAGGACACTGCTTTATTTCTCACAAATGGGTTTGGTGCTGCCACATTCAGAAGCCGAACGCTAGTGCAACTTAATCTGAAAGCATACCTAAGGGGCAGCTCTCTGGTGTGTGTGGGTCATACCCCCCCCCCCCCCCCCCATCTGCAATCCAGGATTCAGTTTTTGCCTAGCGTCTTAGTTCGGAAACAGCTTGTAGCTCCAATATTTGTCACTCCAGAGAACACATCTCCACTGCTGTAGAGTCCAGTGGCAGCGTTCTGTACGCCACTGCATCCGATGGTTTGCTTTTCACTTGGTGATGTAAGGCTTGGATGCAGCTGCTCGGCCATGGAAACACATTCTGTAAAGCTCTCTACGCACTGTTCTTGTGTTAATCTGAAGGCCACATGAAGTTTGAAGGTCTTAACTATTGACTCTGCAGATAGTTAGCGACCTCTGCGCACTGCGCTTCAGCATACACTGACTCCACTCTGTCATTTTACGTGGCCCACCATTTGGTGGCTGAGTTGCTGCTTTTCCTATTTGCTTCCACTATGTTATAATACCACTAACCGTTAACGTGGAATATTTAGTAGGAAAGAAATTTCACGGATGGACTTATTGCACAGGTGGCAACCTATCGTGGTACCACGCTTGAATTCATGGAGGTGATTGGAACACCTGAATCCAATAATTTGGAGGGGTGTCCCAATACTTTTGGTGTGTTTTGTTATATACACTGTTTAAATTTTTTTTTTTTTTTTTTTTTTTTTTTTCTTCTTCAATCAGCGTATAGCATCAAGTCAATTAAACTCCTGGGCTATTGATCTGGTCAATAAATTAACAGGTGCACTGGATGGGCAACAGTGAGATGACTCCCAAAACAGGAATTGTTTTACAGGTGGAAGCCACTGACATTTTTTCCCTACTCTTTTACACTACTCAAAAAAAAATAAAGGAACACTTTTTTTATTAATAGTATAGCATCAAGTTAAACTACTGGGATATTGATCTGGTCAGTTGGGTAGCAGAGGGGGTTGTTAACTTCATTAACGCCAAAGCAGCTGAAACTGATTAACAGGTGTACTAGATGGACAACAATGAGACAACCCCCAAAACAGGAATAGTATTACAGGTGGAGGCCACTGATATTTTCCCTATTCATATTTTCTGACTATTTTTCACTAGTTTTGCATTTGGCTAGGGTCTGTGTCACTACTGATGGCATGAGATGATACCTAGACCCTACAGAGGTTGCCCGGACAGTCCAACTCCTCCAGGATGGCACAGCAAAATGTGCCATTGCCAGAAGGTTTGCTGCATGTCCCAGCACAGTCTCAAGAGCATGGAGGAGATTCCAGGAGATAGGCAATTATTCTAGGAGAGCTAGACAGGGTTGTAAATGGTCCTTAACCCATCAGCAGGGCAGGTATCTGCTCCTTTGTGCAAGGAGGTACAGGATGAGCACTGCCAGAGCCCTACAAAATTACCTCCCAGCAGGCCCCTGGTGTGAATGTCTGACCAGACAATCAGAAACAGACTTCTTGAGGGTGGTCTGAGGGCCCGACATCCTCTAGTGGGCCCTGTGCTCACTGCTGGCACCATAGAGATTGATTGGCATTTGCCATTGAACACCAGAAATTCATTTTGTTTTTTTTTTTTTTGTGGTCTAAACTAAAATATTCAAAATGTACATGAAGCTAGAAATTTTTGTTTTAGATAGTGTAGTTTAAACTCCCAACAGGGTTTTACGTGTGTGTGCGTGTGTGCGTGTGTGCGTGTGTGCGTCCAGTCATCTTCCAAGACAGCTTCACAGGAGAGAAGGTCCTCCCACCAGGAAACATTCGATCCACTTTTCCCCCTATAAGTAGCCTCTCTCCCCAGGCATCTTTGTATTCGTGTTTCCTCCAGATAGGATCGACTCCCTGTTTTTGTTTGTTTTTTTTTTTTTATGGCCGCATGGCAGGGTGCAGAGGCCTCCTGGATGGGGCTACCCCTTTTTCTCCTTTTCAGCAAGGCAGCGGCCTTGCGGAGTGGCCTCATTCAGGGTTCCCTACGGACTGGGGGAGACAGCACCCCCTCTTCTATGTTCCTGCGGGGCTCACCAGGGGGGCTAGAGTCTGCTCTGCAAACCTATTGGGCAAGGGACCACTACCCTGTGGGGGCAAACCCTACCTTTCCTCTGCTGCGTGCCATCTCCAACAAGGAGGCGCGGGTTGATGATGTCACGCCCGAGGGACGGGAAGCGGACCGCCGCCATCTTGGTTATGGGAGGCGATCCGCAAGTTTGCCCCACGCCACAGCTGCTACATCCACTGTGGCCGTGAGGGGAGGTCCATGCAACCGGACCCGGGGGGGCAGAGACACCCCCTCCCTACAAACAGAGCCATACCGAGGGCGGGAATGTGGCCAGAATATAGGCGGATTTGTCCGAGCTGGGGGAGGCCAGCAGCAAGGTAGGATATGAGCCTGTCTGCTGGCATGACCCCCTACCCCTCATGCTTCCTCCTATCTGCTGTCTCAGGGAGGGGGGTGCAAGGTACAGTAAATTTTAAACCAGCAATAGCAACAACCTGTGTTTCCAGAACCCTAGACTTTTGGTTGGGCTAGCTCCGATCTCACCTTTAACATGGCACGCCGGCTGAGGAAAACTCTTAAATCACTACCGGTCTTCGAATAAGCGGTGGCCTTTACTGCAGACGCATCAGCTGAAACCATCAAATATACAGCAAGATCAACTGTGCTCAAAAACTCAGCCCGCAGAGCTTTTTGGTTGAAATCCTGGCAGGGGGACATCGCTCCAAATCCAGACTCTGCGGCCTGCCCTTCAAGGGAAAGTTCCTCTTCAGGCCAGAATGGGCTGCAGTCCTCGAAAGGACTGCCGACAAAAGGAAAGGATTTCCAGTCCCCAGCAGGCAAGCGGGACAGAACTTTTTCGATCCAACAGGCAGCATGCATAGAGAGTGGCCAGATTTCAAGGACCGAAGACAGGCAGGGTCTCAAAAAGAGGAAAGGACAAGGGAGGCTTTCTCTTCAACCCTAACCAGGACAAAACCAAAACTCCGTCCAAGTGACTGGCTGAGCCAGGTGGGAGGAAGACTGGGACACTTCCACACACAATGGCTACAGACTACCCAGAATGCATTCATCCTAGACACAATTCAAAACTGCTACAGGATAGAATTTTCACAACTCCCCCCCCCCCCCCCCCCCCCCCCCCCCCCCCCCCCGTTACAGGTTCTTCGCAACAGGGAGGAAGGAAAGGCGAACACACTTGTGAACCTCCTGGAATAAATGCTCCAACAGAACGTGGTCCGTCAATTGGAGGAAGAGAAAAGGGAAGGGGATTCTACTCCCCATATTATATTTTTTTTTTTTTTTTTTTGTCTATGAAGTAAGAGGTCTGGGAAATACAGACTGATACTCAACCTAAGGAAAGTGAACAAGTTTGTAAAACCCAAAACATTTCGCATGGAGACAATCTACACGACAAAAGAAATCCTCCCTCCCGGAGTATTTATGGCATCAATTGACCTAAAGGACTCATACCTTCACATCCCAATAAGGGAGGAGTCAAGAAAGCTCCTAAGGTTCGCGCTAACGGGCAAGAACTGAACGATTTTGTTCCAATTCAATGCATTTCCGTTCGGTCTGTCTTCAGCACCAAGGATATTTACGAACATTCTAGCGGAACCTCTGGAGGCCTTGAGGCTAGAAGAGATAAACGTTATCCCCTACTTGGATGACCTACTCTTGTTTATGGACACAAAAGAGCTCTGAAATGACATGTGGCGCATACAATATCCTTCTTGGAAAACATAGGATGGCTAATGAATATGGAGAAATCAGTTAGTCCCTTCCAACAGAATCACATATTTGTGATACATTCTGGATTCCACAAGCACCTGCTTATACCTCACACCATAAAAAGCGCTTGAACTACAACAAGACACGAGGAGCTTCCAGGGGACAACAATTTGCACAATCAGAAATGCCATGAAGCTCGTCGGCTACATGACAGCAGCTTTACCAGGGGTACAATGGGCGCAACTACACGATACAGAATCGCGTCCTCTCCCACTGGAACGGCACCCAAGCGTTAATGGATTCCAGCATTTGCCTCACACGAAAGTGAGAGAGTCAGAGTGGTGGGGAAACATCCACAGTCTGGAAGCCTGGAGAAGATGGAAACAATCCAACCCAACAAAAATCACCACAGACGCAAGCATGTGGGGGTGGTGCACACATGGAGGGTTGCCTGACCCAGGGTAAGTGGGATCTGGAAACTGCAAAATGGTCATCATACTTCAGGGAATTACTGGCAGTTTTCGAAGCGTTTAAGGCCTTTCAGGAGAAAATAGAAGGGAAAGCGATTCAGATCCTGTCAGGCAACATGACGGCCGTCGCATACTTGAACAGGCAAGGAGGCATGAGGTTCCCAAGGTTAATGGAATTGGCGGAAACCCTCCTGAGCTGGGCAGAAAGAAACCTAAAATCAATCATGGCGGTCTGTCTGAAGGGAGACCTAAACCTGTTAGCAGATCAACTGAGCCGAGAGGAAATCAACCAGTCAGAATGGTGCCTCAACCGCCCAGCGTTCGCCCAAATCTGCAGCAGATGGGACACTCCCTCCATAGATCTTTGAAGGCAGAAGTACTTTCCTAGTTTTGCATTCCTTCTGCTGGGCAAAGAGACCTTCAGAGTTCAGGGACAGATGCTCTGGCCCAGCCATGGGAGGAGGACCTCCTTTTTTACACTTTTTCACCATTCAGACTACTACCAAAAGTGGTACAGAAAATAGACGTCTCCAGCCAGAGTCATCCTGATCACTCTGTTCTGGCCCAAAAGGTCATGGTTCTCCTTCCTGAAGAAGCTGAGCCTAACTGACCCGTGGACGGTACCACCCACGAATGACCTACTAATGCAGGGGGTAGTGGTACACCCACACCTGGTAAAGCTGTCCCTGACAGCATGGCTTCTGAGCAGAGTAGGCTAGCTAAAAAAGGCTGATCGGAGAGAGTGGTCGCCACCATCTTGGATGGGCAGAAAGTCTACAAATGCCATTTACCACAAAATCTGGAGGAAGTGTTCCTACTGGAGAAATGGGAACAAGTCGCCAGGAGCTCCTATCCTAAATACAGTACTCTAATTCCTTCAAGCCGGGGCAGACAAGAACTCAGCCTCTAATACACTCAAAGTGCAAGTAGCTCCCCTGTCTAACTTCCTGCCGTTGAAGTTGGCAAAGGATCCCGTGGTGGTCAGATTCCTGAGGGATATCTCCAGACGCAGAGTCCCGTGCGCGCCTATATACCCTCTCTGGGATCTTGGCACAGTTTTCAAAAGTTTACAACAGGAGCTATTCAAACCCTTGGGAAAATTTATCTCTCAGGCACTTGACTCTCAAAGCCACCCTCTGATGGCCCTAGTCTCTGCTCGCAGAGTCAGCAAACTGCAAGCTCAGTCAGTGATGGAGCCTTACTGCACAATCTTGTTTGGATAGGCTAATCCTCCATACGGATCCAGCATTCCTACTAAAGGTTGTGTCGCATTTCCATAGACCATAAGAAATTGTAATATCCTTTTGCGGGTGCCCGAGCAACGCCAAAGAGACTACAACAAAATTGATGTAAGAAGATGCCTAATCGCATACATTGAGCGCACTAAAGCATGGAGACGTTTGTCCAGCCTCTTCGTCTTATTTCAAGGACCAAGGAAGGGATACAGTGCCTTTTTAAAGGCACCATTGCAAGATTGATAAAAGAAGCCATCTCAGAAGGATACAAAACCGCGTCACTGGCACCACCACCTGGCTTGAAAGCTCACTCGACTAGGGCCACCGCAGCTACATGGGCAGAGAGCAGGGGTGAGTTGGGGGGCAGGACAGAGGAAGATTTTCATTAACCTAAGAGGAATCATTGCAGGGGACACATCTTACTTGACGGTAAGTTTTATGTCTTGTGATTTTCTTTTTCTTAGTTTTGGTTGTTCTTACACTTTAATCGCAGCCTTGAAAAACCCCTTGGCATCTTGTAAGGATCACAAAGATCACTGTTAATGCAAATTGTACAGTGGCTATGGCAAAGAGTATGTGTATGATGAAAATTGTCCATTTTTCTTCAAGGCTTAAAGTGGAATTCCAGACAAAATTGAAAATTTGCCCATTTTTACTTAGACCTCTTTAAGGTTTGATATGCATTTTCAGACTGGCTGATTGTCTAGCTCAGGTAAGCTGCCTTCTAAGCTAGAAAATCAGCTGTTTTCTGTTCTTTACTGACAACAGTTTGCCTATTCAGTTGAATCTTAGCTGCTCACAGGCACTTCCTGAAACCACTGTCTGTCTCTGTTACAGAACTCCAGCAGAGGGTTGAGTAAACCCACCATCCCTCTCAGCCATTGGCAGAATGTGCAGCAGCTTCTTTCTTTCAAGCCTCGTTTTTGGCTTGGAGCATCAAGAGAGCAGTCATTGTAAGGCTGTAAAACACACTGCACCTCCTATACAGCACCACACATCCTACAAGGTGGAATCCAAGGGATTTTACTGCAGACTTTGTGTTACACTCGCACTACAAGATGGAATCATGGCGTTTTCTGCTTGCTGTGCGTTTACACTCCCAGTACAAGGGGGAGTTAGGCATAGTGTTCATTGTAGACTGTGAGCTGAACTAAGCTGAGACTCCAGAGTGCTTCCAGCTACACTGATGGTTCCCCTGTGGTCGTCTTTATTCAAAGCCCTGTACGGCTCTACTGTACATGTGCACTGGACCTCCCAGCCCTCCTGTGTGAATGTTTGTTTTTTTTCTTAATTTTCTCATGAATGTAGGTGCACAAGCATCCTTCTTCATGAGAGCACTGATCAGAGAACCAATCATCGGCTCCTCCCATCCTGTATACATCGACTGACTACACAGGAACACTGTCACTTTTGGAAGTGATGTTACTAGCCTTCAGTAAGCACACCCACTGGCTGCTCTTAGACTTCTAAGGGAGAGGGATTTAAGTCATGTGACTGGCACAGGATACTGCAAAATAAAAGTTTAAAATTTTTTATTTTTTTTCATTTTGAGAAGGCTGAACTTAGTTTACATTAATGATTGCAGCAGAGAATTTAAAGCAGAGCTCCACCCAAAAGGGGAAGTTCTACTTTAAGTACTGGTCCCCTGCTCCCCATGAGGAATTGGCACCCTGGGGGAGCGGGTACCTGATTTTGACAAGCATCCGCTCCCACTTCCTCCGTGATCACCTAGGCGATCGGAAACGGAAGTTGTACCCCCTCCCTCCCCCCCGTAGTCTTCTGGGACACATGACAGGTCCCAGAAAACTACAGGACCTTTCACAAGGCGCAGCGCTACTTGCTACAGCCTCAAGCTGTCAGTCAGGTGCTGCCTTAAGATGCGGGGAGCGAGGACTGCCAGTGAAACCAGCTGCGGTGAGTACACCGCTGGGTCGTGGGACAGGTGAGTGGCTGCTTTTTAAGTCAGCATCTACAGTTTTTGTAGTTGCTGACTTTTTTTTTTTTTTTTTTGACTGGAGCTTCGCTTTAAGTATTTGGCTTTCCTTCCACTTTGATAGAAACCAGCATACTTTTTTTTTTTGCACTTGCTGGAAAATGTGAGTTGAACAATATTTGTCCTGTCTGTACCATCATCCATATGTGCGATAGACCTTTCATGGCACCTAAAGAATGCCTCAGTTGTGGCCAAACTGGATACGTTTCAATGTGACTTTCAGGATGTGTATGACTGCTAATACTCTAGGAGTGAATGCAGCTTCTCTAGAGCTTAAAGCTTAAGTTTTAGTCAAAACATTTTAAAAAAGTTAGCACAAGGGATGGTACTTAGTCAATGCAAATTGTCCCTTGTGCTGATGTGGTTTTTAGTTGAAATCTTTTGTCCTCTTAAGACTTTAATATGAGTTTTCTGTTAAGTCATGGCCCATGATAAGTGTTTAGGTTTTTATTGCCTGGTCTGCATGTTTTACATACCTCCCTAAGTATGCTACAGTTGAGTTAGTTTGTAAATTTTGTAAGCATCGGAATACTCTTCCCAATAAAAAATGTGAACAGATCTGGCGAATATGTAGTCTCCCTACACACTATACAGATGCATGCTTTTATATTGTCATGTTTTTGTTTTTAACAGAGAAGCATAAGGAGACTTGGAAGGCGTATAAAACATGCACTGCAAGTTCAGAAAGAGGCAGGCACACAGTCCAGCAAATCGCCATCTCTCAGTTCTACTTTTAAAGAGGTAAATACAGATTTCTCAAAGGTGTGTAATCTTTGGGAGTTCATTATGAATTGTAATGTACTGTAATATTTCCAGCTTGATGTCAGTTATTTTTAGCCTGTACACCATCAATAATCTCGTGTTTTACTAAGCAGAAACATTTTAACAGTACAGGGCGCAGGATCCTAGGCCTAACCATTGGTTATATGCATCTTCCTTCAGGTGATTGGACACTGGCAAAAAAAAAAGGCTTATTCCCTTTTTAGAATACCTTTTTGCTCCCAGCAAGCCTCAGTTTTTGCCAGTGTCCTTTTAGGTGATTGATTGAATCTTCTCCCTTGAGGAAAGCTTACCTTACCTATGCTGAAGTTTTTTTCCTGGGGATTGTTAAATAAAGCTTCCTGGCTGAACCATAGCCACTGCTACTTATTTCTGCACCTTCCCGATCAATTGACTCCTCATCTGAGCCTTGGAGGACCATACCCAGACACCACCTAGGAAAGATTTTGTGGCTGCCCTATGTCTATTCAGGCACAGGACACTACGTGGATGTATTATGCTGAGATTTTGGCATGTTGTGCATTAAGCTAGCTGCAGGTCCGGGTACAGGTTCTGGGCCATGGTCTGCTGGTGGTGGAGCCGTTTTGTCTGAAGACCCTTTTAGGCAAAAGCTCATTGTGAAGGATGAAGCTAGGATGTGGCTGATACCTATACATTCTGCTCCTCAACTGCGGTAAGATATAGGACTTGCACCCTGTGCTGGCACTCTGAGGCCAAATGGCAGTAGTGTAGCACAGACTGCAAGTTTTTAAACATTGCCATGAAGTGTGTTTTGCTGCAATCCTCTTCCGGCCCTTTTTGGCTGCACACCATTTCTCTTACCAATTTCAAGTCTCCCCTCCTGAGTAGATCACTGACTTTGACTTTGCTTCTGTGGCTAATTTGCTGCCTGAGGAGGAGGTAGATGAGATTGATATAAAAAAAAAAAAAATCTCAGATCTTTTACTTGTTTACTCAGATCTCTATCTGAGTAAACAACTCGGATCTCGATCTATCCATTCAGTCGTATCCGACCCTTGGCGATTGTATGGACCGCCACTCGCAAGCGACTCCCTCCATGAATTCTCTTAGCAATTATTTTACAGGGTAGGTTGCCAGGATAATTCTGAGTAAATGGATCTGGGTGATCGCTGAGTTCTCTCCGCTCTGAGCAGAGAGCGGAACTGTCCGTCATCGGTGTCTGTGCAGCCCCAGCGCTGGGCTGTGGAGGGGGTGGCATGCTCAGGCTTTCAGTGCTTCGCTGAGAGGCTGAGCTAGGTGCCTCTTCAGATTTTGGGGTGGATCCTGACTGTGAAGTCGGCATCTTTCCTCAGTCTTGTCCGGCTGATTGACGTCAGCCAACAGCGGACTCCAGTCAGCGGAAAACGGTCACAGGAGTGCAGAACGAACTGCACTTCTGTGATCCACAGAAGAGCTTTGGCTGTATGTCTCCTCCTTTTTTAAAAATTTTGATATTTTGTGACTTGCTGATTGCCTAGATTAGAATTAGTCTAAGCTAGACAATCGGCGGTCTTTTGTTCTCTACCGAAAACGGTCTGCCTGTTGAAAAGAATTTGGTAGCTCACAGGCACTTCCCTAAACCGTTGTCAGTCTCTGTGTAAGAAATCCAGCAGATATCCTTGTAGTCCTGCCCAGTAATGCCCCATTCCTCCTGACCATCGACACCATGTTATGCAGCTCCTCTTTTCTTAGCCTAGCTATGTCACTTCCATTTATGATGACCCTAAGGCTGCAGGGGACACCCCAGCAGCTGCAATGAACAAGTAAATCCTGAAGGCTTCAGGTCACGTAACAGGTGGATTGTTACCGGGGAAAAAAAAAAAGGGTACTAAGCATATTTTAACTATGTTGATTTTATGCTATTTTGGAAAATGATAGCTTTAGCAGTGATTTAATGGGAATGTCCAAGGCTGAGAGCTGCTCTCCAAGACTTGGACTGGGAGGGAATATTGCCATTAGAGAACACAACAGAAAAGGCAAATTATATTCCCATTGGCAATACGTTTAAAAGACTAGCAATAAAACCTATATGGAAATAAATATACAAAAAATCCCCCTGCGCTCCACAGAACCTAGTGATCAAAAGTAAGCTGCTATCACCTATTCTTTATACCTCCAGATACGTGCAAACAAATTATATAAATGATGAAGCGCTCAACTTATATCCTTCCATAATAAATTTAAATAATAATCAATCTACAAAAATCTAGTGCAAAATCCCCCACATAAATTATACATCCCCTAGTGGTCAATAGTGATATTCAACAGAATATTTACCAAGATGGCGTCCGAACCCGGGTTAATTTCACGGAAGTACGTCACCCCTATGACCGGAAGGTATAATGGGAAAACCAGGGGGAGTAGCGGCGGCACACGGCTGTCCTGTGTAGATCGGGCTCCAAGAAAATGGAGACACGCTTCTTGTAAATTTATTCCAAGAGCTTAAAAGGAAGTCCTGTCATCCAATGCGGCATCCTGAAGAAGCCACGTGATCGTGGCGCAACGCGTCGACGTATTTTTCCGGTCATAGGGGGGTGACGTGGTTCCGGGTTCGGACGCCATCTTGGTACACCTGAGTATACCCATAGCACATGGGAAATTGCTTCTCTCTGTTGGAGGATATGTGAGTGCGTTTTTGTTATCTTAACCTTGAGTGCATTAAAATAGTGTTGCACTATGGAGGTCTGTTTTTCTCTTGCATATGCGCCCTGTTTTTGAGCCCGTATTGTGAGGGAAGGTATTTGAGAGGAACCCATTGCTTGGAGGAGGATCTTGATTAAAGTCGGTGGAGGCAGTGGAGTATCAATATCCTGGCAGATATATAATATATATATATATATATAATATATATATATATATATATATATATAAAGCTTTGTGACCCGCAAGGGTCGAATGTGGAAGGTGAGGGGGCACTTTGGCTATTAATGAGGGGAGTCACTTCAAGAGTCACGAAGAGCACAATTGCAGCATGGAGTGAAATCATAACCACAGTGTATTGAACACTTTTATTATTTTGCACAGTGTGGCATCACTAATAATTTTGAATTTGATCTTGCATTATATTTTTTATAATATTTGTCACTTTGCACAGTTTAAGTGTCATTCTGTTGAATATCACTATTGACCACTAGGGGATGTATAATTTATGTGGGGGATTTTGCACTAGATTTTTGTAGATTGATTATTATTTAAATTTATTATGGAAGGATATAAGTTGAGCGCTTCATCATTTATATAATTTGTTAAAAAACCTATATGGCTTACCCCAAAGTTTAAAAAAAAAAGCTATAAATAATAACTGAGGAAATGTATTAATAGTAAAAAGGTTAGGTCTGTGCATGTAGGCAAGATAATTTAGAGTTGGTTATTGGGGACAAAGAGGGCAGACTACTTCTTATAAGACTTCTCCGGATTGTAGATGGGTGTCTTATGGTCCTAAGGCTAGGTTAACAAAATGTGGGTCGGGAATGTGTGCATACATGTTCTGATATTTCTTAAACACACACACACACACACACACACACACACACACGTTTTTGCACGCTGGAAACTGCATAGTGCTGCAGCACCAATGCAGTTGAGGGTGGCGCGTTTTGGAAAAAGGGTTGGGGACCTCTTTCTCCATGGGTACGGTCAAATTAATAAGCTTCTGTGACATGAGCATTGACATATGTGAACCTAGGCTAATTGTTTCTTGTATCCCTGAGCTAGAAGTTGTTCTGGACAGCTTACAATTTTCAACAGACGTAAGCTTGATGTATATAATTGTTTTTGCTGTGCTCCATTTTCTGTGGCCAAGCAAGCAAGACTGGTAATGCAGGGTGACTACTTTGTGTCTTGTCACTATGCTCATGTTTGCCACATCTAGTGCGACCTCGCCTTTTTAGTATGTGTGATAAATAGGGAGAGGGGGAGCAAAGTAGGGGACACACTGAAGCAAAAATATCTGTCACAAGTCCTGCACCCTCGAAAATGAACTAGCATCCTGGTGAATAACGCAAGTACACAATTTCCCTGTCCAGACTCTGGTAACAAATTGCATGCAAGCTGCCACCTCTCACAAACTACAGACTTGTGAGGACTGCAGGGATGGCACACTCCTATGAAAGCTATAGAAGTTAAATGTGACAGAGGGGCTGCGTATAGGCTCCCTGGGGCAGGGGTGGGGTCGCAGTTGTGACTCCTGCGACCCCCTATCACTATGCCGTTTCACTATCTACTACAGTATGTTAAAAGTAAAGTTCCCAACCCTTAGGCCATCCAAAGAGAAGCCAGTGATGGGCAGTTGCATCCTAAACTAGTTCACACAGGAAGGTTTCACAAATCTGTAGTTTTGATGGTCTTGGCACTCCTGTTCTAACATTTTTGCAGTCCTTCAATCTCTCAGCACAGCTATGCTTTTGCAGCCATATTTTATAACTAGTTAGCTGTAGCACTTTTGACTAATCACCCCCCCTGCTCTGAGCCAATCCTGATCAAGTAAATTTACTTTTGAGGATCTTTTCACATCTATGTGTTTCTCGTTTTAAAGCTTTTCCTGTTTAAAATTCATAGAAGCACATTAAACCATCAGCACTTGTCATGGTGCAAGTTGCTATGTGCTTTATGATGCATATTATCATTCAATACAAATTACATCACAATGTTCATGCACAGTAGCATGAATTTTTGTGAAGGCCTATTCTAATTGGTAAATCTTTTTTTTTTTTTTTTTTTTTTTTTTTTTTTTTTTTTCCCCCTTTCCCCCTGAATGCATGAAAAGTGGTCCATTGCCATGTTCATTTCTTTCTTTAGAGGTGTTCATACAAGCGATTTGTGTTGCTTCACTTTTTCAAAAGAAATGTTTTTAACTTAGAAAATAAAATAAACCCTTTTGTACTGGCACAGTAATCCAGATGACCTCAAATAAAGCTGAAACACAAATATTTTTGAACGCATAGGATATGCCTAAAAATTTTGCACAGTACATTACATGATTTTCATGCTGGAATTTGCATAGGGAACAATTATTCATATATCTATGAACCGTGCCTACAGAAAGTGAGGCTAAAGTCATCCAATATGCTATATATCCTTGTCAACAAGGGGGGAAAAAGAGACTATATCCACTCTGAGAGTCCTTTTCTATGATGGAACGTTGAAGTGTGGCCCATTACCCCTCAGTCAATACCCCCTCCCTCCTCTAGCTACTGTGATTTTGTTACAGCACTAAAAAAAAAAAACAACACACAAAATAAAGACACAAATACGCTCCTTAGTCTGTGGTTACATAATGCACTGGGTCTCAAGTGTTTCCTCTTCTGCATTGCAGAGTGGAAGCGTTTTTTTCACATATTCATGTCACTACCTTGTTATGTAAACACTTTCCATTAGCTGTCATTAAAGGACCTAACAGGTCCTGAGAACTTTGGCTACAACATGGTGACATCACAGTGAGGGGCAGTAACAGTACTGGTCAATAGTAGGCCTGGAACGCAGCTGTGGATTTCTGGCCTTCAATCTCAGAAGAGGCACTGAGGTGGATCACATGACTGTGAACTTGGGGAAGTAGAAATACCACCAAAAGAGAGCTCTATTTGTGTGTAAAAAAAAAAAAAAAAAAAAAGGACATAAATTTAATTTGGGTACAGTGCTGTGTGTGGTATTTTTGGGGGGTTTTTTTGTTTGTTTTTTAAACATTGTAAGTAATTGGGTGTAGGTAGGTGGGACAAAATGGAGAACAAGTTTGCCTGGAGATGCTTTTAAGCATGTTTTACCTGATTTCTTTAACCACTTGCCCCTCCATAAGATTCCCTCTCTCCCCCCACCCTTTATGACCAGGCCATTTTTTGCTATGCAGCACTGCGCTATTTCAACTGGTAATTGTGCAGTCATGCAGCGCTGTACCCAAATTAAATTTGTGTCTTTTTTTTTACACACAAATAGAGCTTTCTTTTGGTGGTATTTTATCACTACTGGGTTTTCATTTTTGTGATATGAAGGAAAATTTTGAAAAGATATTTTCTACTTGCGGTTACAAAAAAATATCCAATAAACACCATCATAAATTCTCTAGGATCTCTGCTTTCAGGAAATAATGTTTGGGGGTTTTATGTAATCTTCAGGCCTAAAATTATTTTTTAAATGTGCAAAAACGGCTCTGGCAGCAAAAGGGATAAAGTGTGAACCCTGAACCTGCCACCAGCACCCCCCCACCCCACCCCCTTCTTTTTTTTTTTTTTTTTTTTTTTTTTTTTTTTTTTTGACGAGCAGACATTCATTTTTCATCTCACTGCAAGGTCTCTCTAGTCCCTGGGTACGGTGCTGGAGACAGGCAGGGAGAGGAGGAGGCGTTTTAAACAGCGAAATGTTAAAAATATTACCCGTTAAGTCGCCATAAAGCCTCTTGTTTTTAAAAGCCCCAGACATTCCTAATATCGCCTCCAATTTAAATACGGTTTTGATTATATTTTTTTTGTAATCTGGACAAATAGATTGTCATGAGGGACAAGTAGATTGTGGCCCAGATTTAGTACCTGGAGAAGTAGTTTTTTTTTTTTTTTTTTTTTTTTTTTTTTTTTTTCAAAAAATTTCCACACCCTGAGATGACTGGAGCCATTCTCTTCTCCGATCAGCTCTATGGTCAGCTGGCGGAACTGCCAGATGCATTATCTGATTCCCCTGTGGAATGGGAGAGCCAAAGAAAGCCGTTGGGGGATGTCCCTTCTGCTGCTTGTAAAAATGATCCAGCAGCTAATTAGCCACTAGGATTGCTTTTTACATGAAAGTTGACCATCAGCTGAAAAAAAAAAAAACAATACCAAGATGATGCCTGTAGCTGCAGGCATCATCCCGGTATAGCCACAAAGTCCAGCAATGTACCAGTATGTTGCTGGTCCTTGTTGGACATATACGGTATGTAACAGCAGAACATAGGCATATGTTCTGTGGACTAATGACTGCAATTCATTCATTTTTTTGTAAGGCCCATGTTAAAGGTTAGGCCCAAAAATTTTTAAATTCCCAAATTGTGATAGATTTCCATGTTCATTGTCTGTCTGGCAGGATCTGAATTTGGGTTGGTGGTGATTGGTGTGTGTGTAAATTGCTTTGGCCCGCAATCAATTGATACAAATCTTCTATGAAAAACAGTGGAGGGGCTAAATGCTAGTGCTGGCAGCGAACGGGGCCGATCCTGCTAACACTGCATTTTTGAGGACACTATACAAAGGAGGCATTAATATAGTTCTGTTTTGTGATCAATATATTGATCCGTACAATCACTATACTAGTAATGGCGGTGGTCAGCAACCTATAATGTGCGGGTAATCGAATGCTAGCTGACCCTGGCTGGCAAGGATGCTAACAGACCCTATCTGATGTCACTAGTGGCAGTAGTACAGTATTAAGTGAAAATTCTATATACTGACAGTTTAATAATGGCATGTGTGTGTAAAATGTGTTTTTACTACAGTGCAGTGTTCTCTTCTCTTCTCTCCCTGGACCAAGTGGTTAAAAAAATAAAAAACCCTTTAAAAATTGTTTTAAAACATTCTCAATATACAACACAGTATTTCATTTATTTTTGTTTTACTTTTTTTTTTTTTTTTCTTTAAATACTTTTATCAGAATAATACAGTATTACCGTAGTAACATAGTACTACTATGGGGGTGTGATCAAGGTTTTTTTCTTGTTTGTTTTTTTTCCATACTTTTGCAAGAGCAAATCAGGATTATTGCAATGCAAAGCTTGCTTTGAACTGTCAGAGTGCTAAATTCATGACAGTTCAATATAATAGTAATCTGTGATTGGCTAGAGCTGGTCACATGGTACAGGGTGCTGTGATTGGCCCCATGTATTATGTGAGAGCTGTGGGCCAATTACACCTCATCTGGAAGAGAAGCAGAGCTGTTATGAATCTGGACACAGCGTTCGTGGGTATGGAGCCGTACACCGCTTTGCCTGTAGCTGCTGCCCGTCCACAGTACATTGCGGGCGATCGGCAAGCAGTTAAGCTATCAAGTGGTTCCTAAATTAAACTAGCAAATACAGGTGTTGTCCACCCTAGGTAAACATGCACTGTACTTGAAGTTCAATATTTTCATGCATTTATTGTTTTATAAAGTAAATTGTATTGTGTGCATTGATTACTCAATTTTTTTTCATTACAGCTTCCCAAATCCAAAGTCGCTGAGGAAACTTCAACATCCCACACAGAAAAAAATTCTATGCAAAATCAGAGTGAATGCAGCTTAACTTCTGTTGTTTTAAGTGACAATGAGACAGAGCAGCAGAAGTAAGAATTAATCAAATTTTATGTAATTTTTTACTGTTCTAACCATTGTGAAGCAGTTTATTCTTATTTATCGTTTTACTGGCAGTACGAATGTGATGGAACGAAGTCTAATCGTGGTTGTCTAATATCTACTTTATTAAAACCTCGATAGTTATTGCTTTAAAATGCAAGTTAGTGTCTTTTTTTTGTATGAAGAATCTGTTTATGGGCATATGAGACTAGGGATGGGGCGACGGATATTGTTGAAGAGAAGCAGGCCATCACTTTTTGTTATATTAACCGTTTCCCAACCGCTTGCAATGTACTGTGGCAGAGCGGCAGCTACAGGCAAAGCGATATACTCGTACGTCGCTCTGGCTGTACTAACTGAATGGGACCCGGTGTTCATTTGATCGCCAGTCGATCATATGTTCACTATGTAAGCAAAGCTGTTGTGAATCAATCTCATTCATAACAGCTCTGCTTCTCTTCCTAGTGAGCTGTGATTGGCCCTCAGCTGTCACATGATACACCCTGTACCATGTGACCAGCTCCAGCTAATCGCAGCTCACTATCCTGAGCTTTCAAAACGTAACTCATGCATGACAGTTCATGAATGAATTCGGTTCTGACAACAAGCGTTGCAGGAGAAATGATCTTTATTTCAGCTGCAAAGTGTAAAAAAAAAAAAAAAATCCATGATCATCCCCCCACAGTAGTACAGTGTTACTATGGTATCATTGTACTATTCTGATAAATATTTTTTCAAAAAATAATAGTTTTAAAAAAAATAGTAATTCTGTTTGTTTTTTTTTTTTGTTTTGTTTTGTTTTTTTTTTTTTTGTACTACATGCTGACCACTTACCCACATTTTGCGGGCGAGCAGCAGCTCTTGGCAAAGTCCAGGGAGAGAAGAGAACACGGCACCTAGTAAAAGCACCACTACATTTTACACATGTTGGATTAGCACATTTAACTCTTTTGATTGCCCCACCACCCACCCAGTGCCATTAGTACAGTGTCAGTATATAGAATTTTTCACTGATCACTGTATTACTGCCACTAGCGACATCAGATAACATCCGGGTCAGTAAGCGCCCCACCCAGCAAGGGTCAACTAGCGTTAATTTGCCCTCACTATCGCACTCATGCTATAGGCTGCTGATCACCGCCATTACTAGTATAGTGTTTGTATGGATCAAGATATTGATCAGGTACAGAACTATACTAGTGCCTCCTTTTTTGTATAGTGTCCACAACAACGCAGAGTTAGCAGGATCGGCCCTGTTCGCTGCCAGCTCTAGTGTTTAGCCCCTCTGCTGTTTTTCACAGAAGATTTGTACCAGTTGATTGTGGGCCTAGGCAATTTATACGCACAATACATGGCCGCCCACCCAAATTCAGCTCTGTTCAGACAATTCGCATGGAAACCTATCATGGTTTCTGAGTTTAAAACTCTTTTGGGCCTAACCCTCAACATGGGCATTACAGAAAAAAAATAATTGCAGTCATGTTGATCCACAGAGCCAATTCATCGTATGCCTGTGTTCTCTGTTACATATATGGCCAACATGGACCAGCAATGTACTGGTGCATTGCTGGACTTTGAGTGATTGTACCGGGATGATGCCTGCAGCTACAGGCATCATTCTAGTACTTTTTTTTTTTTTTTTTTTTTTTTAGCTGGCGGTCGTCTTTCATATAAAAGCAATCCAAGTGTCCAATTTTTAGCTGCTGAATTGTTTTTATGAGCAGCGGGAAGGGACACCACAAACCCCAACCCCCCCCTTCCACAGTTTGCTTGGGGAATCTGAGAAAGCAGCCGGCAGCTCCGCTGGCTGACCAGAATGGCTCCAAACATCTCTCTAGACCAGAAGCTACAAGCATTTCTTCACTTCAGTTTCGCAAGATATAAACAGCACCAATTGTAAATTGGGAAAGCATCTGATCACACCAATCTTGGTGAGATTAGATAATGTAAGGGCACAGGAGATATCCATAGCCTGATAGACCCCAGATTTCTCAAAAAAGAATACAGTCAGATCCATAAATATTGGGACATCGACACAACTCTAACATTTTTGGCTGTATACACCACCACAATGGATTTGAAATGAAACGAACAAGATGTGCTTTAATTGCAGACTGTCGGCTTTAATTTGAGGGTATTTACATCCAAATCAGGTGAACGGTGTAGGAATTACAACAGTTTGCATATGTGCCTCCCACTTGTTAAGGGACCAAAAGTAATGGGACAATTGGCTTCTCAGCTGTTCCATGGCCAGGTGTGTGTTATTCCCTCATTATCCCAATTACAATGAGCAGATAAAAGGTCCAGAGTTCATTTCAAGTGTGCTATTTGCATTTGGAATCTCTTGCTGTCCACTGTCAAGATGAGATCCAAAGAGCTGTCACTATCAGTGAAGCCAGCAATCATTAGGCTGGAAAAACAAAACCAACCCATCAGAGAGCAAAAACATTAGGCATGGCCAAAACAACTGTTTGGAACATTCTTAAAAAGAAGGAATGCTCAGCAAAAACCAAAAGACCACGAAAAACTGTGGTGGATGACCAAAGAATTCTTTCCCTGATGAAGAAAAACCCTTCACACCAGTTGGCCAGATCAAGAACACTCTCCAGGAGGTAGGTGTATGTGTGTCAAAGTCAACAATCAAGAGAAGACTTCACCAGAGTGAATACAGAGGGTTCACCACAAGATGTAAACCATTGGTGAGCCTCAAAAAACTGGAAGGCCAGATTAGAGTTTGCCAAATGACATCTAAAAAAGCCTTCACAGTTCTGGAACAACATCCTATGGACAGATGAGACCAAGATCAACTTGTACCAGAGTGATGGGAAGAGAAGAGTATGGAGAAGGAAAGGAACTGCTCATGATCCTAAGCATACCACCTCATCAGTGAAGCATGGTGGTGGTAGTGTCATGGCGTGGGCATGTATGGCTGCCAATGGAACTGGTGCTCTTGTATTTATTGATGATGTGACTGCTGACAAAAGCAGCAGGATGAATTCTGAAGTGTTTCGGACAATATTATCTGCTCATATTCAGCCAGATGCTTCAGAACTCATTGGACGCCGCTTCACAGTGCAGATGGACAATGACCCAAAGCATACTGCAAAAGCAACCAAAGAGTTTTTTAAGGGAAAGAAGTGGAATGTTATGCAATGGCCGAGTCAATCACCTGACCTGAATCCAATTGAGCATGCATTTCACTTGCTGAAGACAAAACTGAAGGGAACATGCCCCAAGAACAAGCAGGAACTGAAGACTGTTGCAGTGGAGGCCTGGCAGAGCATCACCAGGGATGAAACCCAGCATCTGGTGATGTCTATGCGGTCCAGACTTCAGGCTGTAATTGACTGCAAAGGATTTGCAACCAAGTATTAAAAAGTGAAAGTTTGATTTATGATTATTATTCTGTCCTATTACTTTTGGTCCCTTAACAAGTGGGAGGCACATATGCAAACTGTTGTAATTCCTACACCGTTCACTAGATTTGGATGTAAATACCCTCAAATTAAAGCTGACAGTCTGCAGTTAAAGCACATCTTGTTCGTTTCATTTCAAATCCTTTGCGGTGGTGTATAGAGCCAAAAATGTTAGAATTGTGTTGATGTCCCAATATTTATGGACCTGACTGTATATGACCATGCCCATTGAAGTTATAGGGGATATTTGCTTTCCCTGTGATAGCATTAAATCTGATAAAAAAAAAAATGAAAGACAGTGTAAAAATTTAAAAAATCAATAACTTAAAAAAAAAAAAAAACACCCTTGCCTCCCTGCGTGCACACGCACCTGCATGCGCAATCATTTACCTCGTGCTGGTATGTAAACAGCGGTTGCACCATGCATGTGAGGTATCGCCACAAACGTCAGATCAAGGGCAGTAATTCTAGCTCTAGATGTCCTGTGTAAATATAAATTGATGACCTGTAAAGGCTTGTAAAGTGTTGCCTATCTATAATAAAAATGTATGTACTTTGTTGCCATTGTATGGACATGCGCAATTTTAAAGCATGTCATGTTTGGTATCTATTTACTCAAAGTAACATCATCCTTTTTTTATATTTTTGTGTTTTTGTGCATTAACATTCTAAAAATTGTATTTTTCCCAAAAGATTTGTGTTTGAAAAATTGCTGCACAAATACTGTGTGACGTAAAAAAAATTCAACACCCACAGTTTTATTCTCTAGGGCCTCTGCTTTAAAAAAAAAAAAAAAAAAATCTATAATGTTTGGGGGTTCAAAGTAATTTTCTAGCAAAAAAAGTTTTTTTTTTTTTTTTTTTTTATGTTAACAAAAAGTGTCAGAAAAGGCTTGGTCTTCAAGAGTGGGTGATGTGGCATAAGCTTCCAATGTGTGCCCTGAAATGCCAGGATAGTAGAAGTAACCCCTCCAAATGACCCCTTTTTTGCAAAGTAGACACTTCAAGGTATTGCTAAGAGGCATGGTGAGTGTTTTGCAGATCTGATTTTGTTGCCACCTGTGTTTGGAGAACTAAGGAAAAACAATTTTTTTTTTTTCTTTTTCAAAACCCTGTGACAAAAATGATATCTGTAAAATACTCGCCATGCCTCTTATCAAATTCCTTGGGGTGTTTGTGCTATCCTGGCATTTTAGGGCCTCCGAAACGGTGATAGGTAGTGGGGAAGTGATATGAGGAAATATGCCCTTTTGAAAGCCTGGAGGTGGTCATTGAATTTTGGGGGCTTGTATGTAGCTAGGCTGCCAAAAAGTCTCTCACATGTGGTATCCCCATACTCGTAAGAAGTAGATGAATGTGTTTTGGGGTGTTATTCCACATATACTCATGGCATGCATGAGCAATATATCATTAAAGTGACAACTATGTGGAAAAAAAAAGTAATTCAAGAAATTTGTGGGAAAAAATAAAATGTTTCATGGACTCAGCATGCCTCTCTGCAAAATCCTTGGGGTGTCTACTTTTCAAAAAGGGGCATGGGGGGGGGGGGGGGGGGTTGTACTGCCCTGGCATTTTAGCACCTCAAGAAATGTGATAGGCAATCAAAGTAAATTCTACGTAAATCTATATACAGTGGGGAAAAAAAGTATTTAGTCAGCCACCAATTGTGCAAGTTCTCCCACTTAAAAAGATGAGAGGCCTGTAATTGGCATCATAGGTAGACCTCAACTATGAGAGACAAAATGAGAAAAAAAAATCCAGACGATCACATTGGCTGATTGGAAAGAATTTATTTGCAAATTATGGTGGAAAATAAGTATTTGGTCAATATCAAAAGTTCATCTCAATACTTTGTTATATATCCTTTGTTGGCAATGACAGAGGTCAAACGTTTCCTGTAAGTCTTCACAAGGTTGGCACACACTGTTGCTGGTATGTTGGCCTATTCCTCCATGCAGATCTCTAGAGCAGTGATGTTTTGGGGCTGTCGCTGGGCAACACGGACTTTCAACTCCCTCCAAAGGTTTTCTATGGGGTTGAGATCTGGAGACTGGCTAGGCCACTCCAGGACCTTGAAATGCTTCTTACGAAGCCACTCCTTCGTTGCCCGGGCAGTATGTTTGGGATCATTGTCATGTTGGAAGACCCAGCCACGTTTCATCTTCAATGCCCTTGCTGATGGAAGGAGGTTTTCACTCAAAATCTCACGATACATGGTCCCATTCATTCTGTCCTGCACATGGATCATTTGTCCTGGTCCCTTTGTGGAGAAACAGCCCCAAAGCATGATGTTGCCACCCCCATGCTTCACAGTAGGTTCACCTTTTTAAACATGTAATTTTACCAATAGAAGATGTTCATTCATAGATTCTGCAGATAGGAAGTTTGAGAAGCTCTTTATTCTTTGATGATATTATGTGCTGTAGATGACGACTCAAATTGGAATTTTACATTGAGGAACATTATTCTGAGATTGTTTGACAATTTGTAGACGCAGCTTTTCACAAGTTGGTGATCCTCTAACCATCTTAAAGGAGAAGTTCACCTTTAACCTAATTGGTTGCAAAATGTTCTTCTAGCTTATCCTTTTGTTAGTACCACTTACGTTGCCAGCTTTTTAATGCCCTGTCCAAACTTTTTAGAGATGTGTTGCTGCCATCAATTTAAAATTACCCTTTTTTTTTTTTTTTTTTTTTTTTTTTTTTTTTTAAATGGTAAATTTTCTCAGTTTTTAAACATTTGATATGTTTTCTATTGTGAATAAAATATGGGTTTGAGATTTGCAAATCATTGCATTTTTGTTTTTATGTAGATTTTACACGGCATCCCAACTTTTGTGGAATAGGGGCTGTCACCTTATACCGTTCCCAAGTGAATCTCACCATTGATCTAGTTACATGCACAACTCCAAGTCAGTCCCATTCCCTTGCCTATAATAACATCTTGGGCTTGTTCACACCAGTTGTGATGTGGAAACATGTGCAACAGCATGCATTTTCCCACACCACAAGGAAATGTGTTGCCCTCTGCAGACATCTGTAGGTGCCACTAATTTCTTATTCGCATTAGTGAGCTCTTTATACTAGATTTTATTAACATAAAACATTATTTTTTTTAAATATTGATCATTAAACTATTAATGGCACAACTAATTTTAAAGCCATTTTAATTTCTACTTCGAGGTTTCCTCTATAAATAACCTTGATTTTATTTGTGTATTCATCTCTTGTTTCACTTTTCTGTATTTTATTTCTGAGCTCTCCCTCAAAATGCATTGGCTTCTCCTGATCAATCTTTTAAGTGCCATGAACTACTTAATTGTGGATTAACAATGTGATGGACCTAATTTGATATATTTTTATCATATTAACCACTTCCCAAGCAGCGTATGTGTATATTCGTCCTGGGCATCAAGTTATACTAGGATCGCGGCTACAGCTGCAATCGTGATCCTGATACCGGTTTTTAGAGCGGGTGACTAGTTTTTTTTTTTTTTTTTTTTGTTTTTTTTCTTCTGTTAAAGTGATCAGTGTGGTTCCCCAATCTCCTCTGACAAAAATCGTGTATAGTTAGCTGCTTTGGAGGGGAGACATCAGGGTTCTAATTGGACCCCTGATGTCTATATAAAGCCATCTCAAGGGGGCAGTACCACTGTGCTCACATGCAAAGGCAAACTTACACATCGGTTCTGTACTCATATGTAAATGGTGATTGCATCACACGTGTGGTATCTCTGTGAATAACTGAGTTAGGGCAATACTTCTAAGGCCATAATACATGGTTAACTATAAACGGACAACCTGTGAAGGACTTTGAAGCATTACCTATGGACAATTTTAGGTGCCATAGCTTGTCGCCATTTCACAGGCATGCACAATTTTAAATATTGCCATTTGGTATCTCTTTACTTTATGCAACGTAATCTTTTATATTGTACACAAAAATTAGGTATTATATTGTTTGCACAGATTTATTTGTGTATTTTTTTGTTTTTTTTTTTTTTTTTTCCTTTTAAAATATGCGTTTGACAATTGCTGTGCAAGTATCGTATGACATGTATGTAATAAATGTTAAAATTGCATTGGTAGGCAAGTTGTTAATAGGGCTGCTCACAGCTTTTGTATTTTATGATTGCATATACATGTAAGGATTAGGGGGTCTTTTGTGTTTTTAGGATTGTGTTATAATTTTTAGGGGGGTTTTAATAGGGTGCACTGCACTTTTTTTTTTTTTTTTTTTTTTTTTTTTTTTTTTTGTATGTTTTGTGTGTGTCACATTTTGTGCTGGCTAGTCCTGAATAAGGGGGTGGGATTTTTCTATATTTAGGTGCAATGGGGATATTTGTATTTATATAACTTATAACTTATCGGTCAAGCTTATCTGCTTGAGGATAAGGTTCTAACTTTTCCTGCGGCACAGTCTGCTAGATCAGAAAGTGATTCTTGGACATTTCAGCATTCTGGATCTGCTTTTTTTTTTTTTTTTTTTTTTTTTTCTCTTTGTGGTTGATGTTTAAGCCTCAGCTGATACAATCTTTGCCTTTAAGGACATTCAGGCAGCTTTTTGAGCAGCAAGCAGCCCCAGTTGTTGCTAGTTTGGTGTGTTGCCCACCCCTCATTCTACTGGCTAATGCTTTTTTTTGTTGCCAATGTAGAATTTTCTTTTAGGTGGCAGCCTTCTGTCCCAAAACTTCTCCTGACCCTGTTGATTAACTCCAAGAAAGATTTTATAGTAAGACAAAAATCCTGTTCTTTTAACTTGCAATAGAAGATCTAATCATGGCAAACCACTATGTTTTTTCCAGTGATCAAGAACAAACTGAGCATCAAAAAGAATCCTTCAAAAAAAGTGGATTATTCAGGTATTTAAACTCAAACGTTTACTTTTTCATATGAAGCATTCAAGAATAAGCATTAAAAATGTTACCAATAGTCTAAATCTAATGGAGTTGCCTTTTAGTATTTAGCACAGTGTAGTGGTATATCCAAACTGGCCTTCATAAAAAATGAAGGGTAATGTGTTCATAAATAGTGATAGGCCAAACACCCTCGTGTTCAGTTCGTAGTCGAACGTTCAAACCTAATGAACTTTCGACCGCAAACTTCAAACTCTGTGCAAGTCTATGGAACCCGAACTTATAAATGCAAAAGTGCCAATTTTGAAGCCTTATATGCAAGTTATTGGCCATAAAGGGGTATAGGGACTTCGGGTACTGCCCTGAGGGACATGAATCGATGAAAAAACATTTTTCAAAAAGTACCAGTTTTTTAAAGGGGCAATCATTTTTGATTGCTTAAAGTATTGAAAAAAAAAATTCATTATGCCTGGGGAGTTCCCTTAAACTACCTGCAAAGTTGGACATCTGTACAAATGTATAGAACCTGCTGCAGCAGGACTGACTTTTAAGAAAGAAAAAAAAAAAAACAGCGTGGGGTCCCCCCTGATCCATACCAGACCCTTTTTAGGTCTAGCAGGAAAGTTAGGAGGGATCCTACAGTGAAAAAACCTTTTTTTTTTTTTTTTTTTTATGTGTGGGGTTCCCCCTAAAAGCCCTTCCAGTCCTGGTAGGATGTTTAAGGTGAACCCCATGGCCAAAAATGGAGCAAAAAAGCATGGGGTCCCCCCCAAATTCCTACCTGATCTGAGCAAATCCGGGCAGGGAAGGGAGGAGGGCGATCGAGCGCCCCCTTCCCCCTGCTTACTAGGCCACGTTCCCTTACTGATGGGGACAAGGGCCTCTTCCCCACAAGCCTGGTCTGGAGGTTGTGGGGATTGTCGGGCAGGGGGGCTCATTCACATCAGGATCAGGTTACCCCTTTTTAAATAAGGGGGCACCCTGATGTGAACACCCCCCCCCCCCACTTGTGAATGAGTAATTTGTACTTGTACCCCTACCCATTCACTAAAGGGTTAAACTCAGTAAAAATAGACCAGTCTTTTGAAAAAGTCCTTTTAATTGAACAAGAAACAAAACCGGTTTTGTCAAGTCCTTTTACCCACCTCCCATACAGGGTCGGGTGAACGTTTATAAATGGACACAATGGAACACCGATCGTCGAACGGGACCTCTGAAACTGCCTTACTCAAAACTCTCCAACGACCTGCTAACCACCAAAGCTAATGGCCACTATTCATTGCTCCTACTCCTTGACCTCTCTGCGGCCTTCGACACAGTCAACCACCCCCTCCTCCTCAAAAAAACTACACTCCCTCGGCCTCAGAGATTCTGCTCTCTCCTGGCTCTCATCCTACCTGTCACAACGCTCTTTCAGCGTTACCTATAATACTACCACCTCCCCCTCTCTGTTGGGGTCCCTCAAGGCTCTGTCCTCGGGCCCCTTCTCTTCTCCATCTACACCTCCTCCCTTGTCTAACTCATACACTCTCACGGCTTCAACTACCACCTATATGCTGACGACACACAAATCTATCTCTCAACCCCCCACCTCACCCTCTCAGTCTCTGCCTGAATCACACTCCTACTGAGCGACATATCTGACTGGATGTCGCTCCACTTCCTTAAACTGGACCTCTCCAAGACCGAGTTTCTTGTCTTTCCCCCCAGCCCGGACACCACCCCCCACTGACTTGTCCAACAACGCCACCATCAAACCCGCCCTGCAGGCCAGAGTACTTGGTGTCATTCTGGACTCCAACCTATCCTTCCAGCCCTAAGTCCAATCTTTAACAAGCTCGTGCAGACTCCACCTCTGCAACATCGCCAAAATCCGCACGTTCCTAACCCCAGAAACCACTAAAACAGCTCATCCACTCCCTCATCATATCATGACTCGATTACTGCAACTCCCTCCTTACTGGCCTGCCTCGCCGCCGGGTATCCCCGCTTCAGTCGATCCTGAATACGGCAGCCAGACTCATTCACCTTTCCAACCGCTCCATCTCCGCCACCCCCCTCTGCCAATCCCTCCACTGGCTTCCGATTGCGCAACGGATCAAATTCAAAATCCTAACACTGACTTACAAAGCTGTCCACCACACTGCCCCGAACTACATCACTGACCTAATATCCAAGTACCACCCAGCACGCACGCTCCACTCCTCACAAGACCTCCTCTCTAGTTCCCTGGTCTCCTCCTCCCATGCCCGCCTCCAGGACTTCTCCAGGGTGTCACCCATCCTCTGGAACTCCCTGCCCCAACCCATCAGATTATCACCTACTCTCCTCTCCTTTAGGCGCACCCTGAAAACCCATCTCTTCAGGGAAGCCTACCCCACCCCCTGCTAACTTGCCGACCTCCTCCACTCTTCCTACCACTCAATCCCCCACAGCTATCACCTCCTGTGCCACCATCCCCTCCCTCCTAGATTGTAAGCTCGAAAGAGCAGGGCCCTCAAACCCCTCATGTTTTGCATTGTATTGTTATTGTTCTGTTACATGTTCTGTCCCCCTTTTGTAATGTACAGCGTTGAGCGAACTATCGGCGCTTTATAAATACTGTATAATAATAATAATGTGATCACTGATTGGCCAATCGGTGATCACATGCAGAGTAGTAAGCAAGATGTCACTTCTGACATCATTGCTTACTACGTGTGAAATCTGTGAATGATCACAGAGGTCACATGGTACAAGGCTATTCAAAAAAGCCTAGTACCATGTGACAAACTGTGTGACCAATTACAGCTAACACAGTAGTTCTCATTGGCTGCAGCCAGAGAGGAGAAATTGCTTTTACAGCCTTTTATGGGTGTAAAAGCAATCAGTGTTAAAAAAAAAAAAAAAAAAAATCATCACCCCCCACAAGTAGTACAGTGTCACCATGGTGACAATGTACTGCTAGGATCACAGTATGTGGGGGGGGAAAAAAATATATAAAAAAAAAAAAAATAAAAATGTAAAAAAAAGTTAAATTATAATTTTTGGTTCTAAACTAATTTGGGTTATTTTTTTTTCTTTTTACTAAAAAGATAACAAAATAAATTTTGGCCAAGATTTATGATGAAATATTATTTATTTGCAGAATTTTATAAGAAAAAATTATTTTGAAAATTTTTTTTCTCAATTTTTGGACTTTTTCATTTACATAGCAAAAAAAATAAAAATCCCAGTGGTGAATAAATACCACCAAAATAAAGCTTTGTCTCAAAAAAATGCTAAATTCATATGGGTACAGTGTTGCATGACCGCGCAATTGTCATTCAAAGTGTGATAGCACTGAAAGCTGAAAATTGGCCTGGACAGGAAGGGGGTAAAAGTGCCCGCACTTGAAGTGGCTAATTTAAAATAAAAGCCAAAAAAATAGTTCCATTGTAATCCATCTTCAATCAAGGTGTCCAGCATTGGCATGATGACGCTGACGTGGCCAAAGCAATGTCCGACTTGTGGTCAGGTGCATTGCTTTGGCCAATCATGGCTCTCACAATGCACTGAGAGTGCAGTGCATTGTGGGACGCTTGGGCGAACAGCCCGCCGAACACCTTTTACCATTCGTGTGTTCGGCGAACACATGAACAGCCAGCGTTCAAGTCGAACGTAAGTAACATGGAGCCCAACACTATTCATAAATTGGTGAATGTGACATTACTGCATGTTAATCAATAACTTACTCTTCCACCAGAGCAATTTACCTTAAGTGACTGGTAAATGTCACATTCACTGCTTTATAGATATGCTCCATACAGTACATGTTTTCTAAGCATCTTTAATGATTGACTGTGAGGTGAGATTTTAAAATGTTGCTAAGGTTATAGTCCCATGAGTATTTCATGTCTGTAATAGTATCACATGTGAAACCATTTTGCAAAAGAATAAATACTACATGTCTGACAATATTATAGCAATTCTTTTTAATGTATTTTGCTACAGAATTGTGTATCATAAACACTTGCCATGGTTTTTTTTTCCTCCTATCTTCAGCCTTTTGGTGGACCACTCATGCTCAGTGTGTGTCTGCATACACCAGGGGGACTTGTTGGCACCAATTAAGGGAGTGTATGCTACAGGGTGACAACACTGGAGAATATTTGAAACCGCTGTTACCACATAACAGGAAGTGTCTGAACAATGTTCCTCATAGCAGGATCACAGGTGCTCCTAATGCAAGCTACAGATATAAAAAGATTGATACAGTTTTGCAATTTTTATTACCATGTTACAAGCATACAGTATACGATTTTAGTGACTGGTTGTAGCTTAAAGGGCACTTGTGAAGCACTGACAGTGAGGAACAGAAGTATTTGAACACCCTGCAATTTTGCAAGTTCTCCCACTTAGAAATCATGGAGGAGTCTGAAATTCACATTGTAGGTGCATTCCCACTCTGAGAGACAGAATTTACAAAAAAAATTCAGGAAATCACATTGTATGATTTTTAAAGAATTTATTTGTCTTGCACTGCTGAACATAAGTATTTGAACACCTAAGAAACGGCAAGAATTCTGGCTCTCAAAGACCTGTTACTGTGCCTTTTAAAAAATCCACCTCCTACTCCACTCATTAATCTAACTTAGTTGCACCTGTCTGAGCTCTTTAAAGACAACTGTCCACCCACAGTCAGTCAAATGCCAACTACTACCATGGGCAAGACCAAAGAGCTGTCAAAAGATACCGGAGACAAAATTGTGGACCTCCACAAGGCTGGAAAGGGCTACAGGGCAATTGCCAAGCAGCTTGGTGAAAATAGATCAACTGTTGGAGCAATTGTTAGAAAATGGAAGAGGCTAAAGATGACTGTCAGTCTCCCTCGGATTGGGGCTCCATGCAAGATCTCACCTCGTGGGGGTATCACTGATAAGAAAGGTGAGGAATCAGCCCAGAACTACAAGGGAGGAGCTGGTCAATGACATGAAGAGAGCTGGGACCACAGTTTCAAAGGTCACGGTCAATAGAACACTATGCCATCATGGTTTCAAATCATGCATTGCACGGAAGGTTCCCCTGCTCAAGTCATCACATGTCCAGCCCGTCTGAAGTTTGCCAATGGCCATCTGGATGATCCAGAGGAGGCATGGGAGAAAGTCATGTGGTCAGATGAGACCAAAGTAGAACCTTTTGGTCTAAACTTCACTCATCGTGTTTGGAGGAAAAAGGATGAGTTGCATCCCAAGAACACCATCCCTACTGTAAAGCATGGGGGTGGTAACATCATGCTTTGGGGGTGCTTTTCTGCAAAGGGGACAGGACGACTGCACTGTATTAAGGAGAGGATGAATGGGGCCATTTATTGTGAGATTTTGAGCAACAACCTCCTTCCCTCAGAGTATTGAAGATGAGTCGTGGCTGGGTCTTCCAACATAACGACCCGAAGCACACAGCCAGGATAACCATGGAGTGGCTCCGTAAAAAGCATATCAAGGTTCTGGAGTGGCCTAGCCAGTCTCCCAACCTAAATCCAATAGAACATCTTTGGAGGGAGCTGAAACTCCGTGTTGCTCCTGGGAATGCACCTACAATGTGAATTTCAGACCCCTCCATGATTTCTAAGTGGGAGAACTTGCAAAATCGCAAGGTGTTCAAATACTTCTGTTCCTCACTGTATATGTACAGGCACATGCACCTCTGCATGCTTCCTTTTACTTCCTTACAACTTTAATTTTTAACCCCAGCACAAGTTTATTTAGACATTAAAAAATGCTTCACTTTGTACTTATATTTTTTCTTTGTCTAGCCATTCGTAAAATAATGGAATCTATCAAGGAGCACAGAAATAAAGCACTGGTAAGTACAGTTCCAGTAAGTACACTGGTAAGTTCTTGTGTGTGGTAGCAGAATGCAAGTAAAAGTGAAAGCTGATTACTATGGATAAGATGTGTTTTAATTTTGTATAGGTATTGCCAAAATGTGTAATTCCAGATCTATTTAAAGATTTTTCTTTTTTGTTTCCCCCAAACCCTCCCCCCCATTTTAAACAGGATAAACCTGTTGCTCTAATTGACTTAACAGACGATGAAGAACAGAAAGCTGATAGAGGTATTTATACTTTAAATTGTAATTGTCGAGTAAAGTACTGTGTATGTGAACATTGTAATCTGGAATTTGTAGTATATTTTTGTAAATTTTTTTCTTTCCTATTGCCTGAGTTTGTTTCACTATTATTCCTCTGGTTGACCAAATTAGGTGCATTGCATAAATTGTAACTACGGAAGAAAAATTTGTTTAGATACACAGAATATGTATGCAGGACAGCAAACCTAATCCATATATAATGTCCAGGTAGCAACGCTTGACAAGGTCTTACAGCTCCACAAACAATTGATCAAAGATAAACCACACTGTAATGACAAAAGAGGTGCTATGACTTAGTGTTTTACCAAATCAAGTAGAGTTTTTAACCAAACCAAAAAAACTAAAATAAAATTCTGTCTTGCAGATATAGATGTGTGTGTGTGTGTGTGTGTGTGTGACATATCTTCATACACCAAAAACAAACTATAAATCTCTTAACTCAAAAACGCCATAAATCTTAAAATTAGCATATCTTCAAAATAAATACAATTTATCGTTCATAAAGTCCGATCTTCCACATAAAGTACCTAATGTGCTATCTTTGATAAAGTCCCTCAAAGACTTGCTGCCTTATGGGACATTCCCAAATTATATGTATGAGAGAACTTGGTTGGGTGCCACAGCACCAGGAAATGTGGGGAAAAGGAATACTGGTGTCCTGTACCATCAGGTCACAATTTTGTAGAAGATCTCTTGATATTTGTTGCAGATAGACTTTGTGGGCACAGAATAGAATTTTTGGTTTCACTGACAGTGCGTCTTGGGTCTCTTTCCCACTTGTCAAGAAACCTGGGGTTCTCAATAGAGTGTGCAGATGCTAGGAGTTGGTAGGAAAAGGATAAGTACTAATTGTATCTCCCCCGTGGCTTGAAAGGTCTCTTCAAAAGTTGTCGAATTTCTAAGGAAGTGCCTGGGTTTAAGCAGAGACTAAAGGAAATTCCAGTGTTGGAGGCACCAGGGTTTTAATTCAGGAACTGCATGCAAAGCTGCAGGTTCAGAGAAGTTACTCCATTTGTTACCATTATGAGTTGGGATGCTCTGAGTCCTCCATCCCACCATGATCTGAAACTTTGATCAGACTGTTTAGGGAGGCACTCAGGATATCCTATGATGGGAACCTTCGAACACCTAGGAGGGAGAGGCTCCTGTCTGTCTTTTGCAAAGTTGGGACAATTGGTGCATGTTTGAGTAAAGAAGTAGGAATTAATTGACCTGCCCGCTGTAGACCCTCCGAAGGTACTGTCGAATGGCTGTGTTCTATTGATACCCAAAGCTTGGTAACACGGTACCTATCCATTAAACACAAGTCATTTGTACTGCAGTGTATAACAAGCTGGGTTAGAAAGCTATCCCCCACCCCCCCCTCACCCCCCGGCCTTTTGGTCAGATCAGAATGTACTTGCTGATATGTGGGACATTGCCTGCTAGGTGAAACAGATAAATTATAACATATGGGGGGGAAAAAAAAACAAGATACTGTATATGAACGGGCAATGCACCTCCCAAACCAGGGAAGAGCTAATGTAAAACACATTGCCAAATCCTTTACTAATCAGAAAAGGGAGAGTTACATTTTAAGACCATATTCAGGTCTGCTGGAATATTCATGCCTAAGTATCTGATAGATTGGGAAACCCAGCTAGCTAAAAGGGTAGCTGGGGAGAAGGGCCTTCATAGTGTGTGAATTAAGGAGATAATTGAAGGCCTCTTGACTTTTTTGTAGATTAACCTTAAATTTGACAGGGAGCTATATAGCTTAAGTTCTTGGAGGAAAGATAACAGAGACAAAGGGGTTTGTGACATAATTGTAGGTCTGCAGCATAAGCTGCAATCTTTTGATGGTAGCCCCAGGCGAACACCCTAGAAAAGATCTGGGTTGGAACGGATATGTTTTTAAGGCAGGATTATAGGGTAAGAACAAAGGTCAGAGGTGATGGCGGACAGCCCTGTCTGGTCCCAACTGGGTTATCTAAGGGGTCTGATTCAACTTCATTGATGCATACGGTCGCTGAGGTTGTTAGGATACAAGGATTCCTGAATCAGGAAAGCATGTGGCCCGGGATCCCCACATAAGCCAAAGTCCAAAGCATAAACATCCAACCACCTCTATCAAAAGCTTATTCTGCATCTGTGGACAGCAGAAATAAGGAAAGAGGGACATTTTTGACCTTCGAGATAATGGTAATTGTTCAGAGGGTGTTATCCCTCATTTCCCTTAATAAGATGAAGCCTACTTGGTCTAGTGAGATTATTCTTTGAAGTATTAGGCTCAGTCTTTTGTCCAGTATTTTAGTAAACCATTTTTAAATAGCAATTTAACAGGGTAATCGGCGTATAGCTGGCACAGAGGTGGGTGTCATCTGGTTTAGGTGAAGATGAAGTGGTCGCTAGGAATTCTTTTGGCTTAATAGGCTTTGCTAGAGAGTCTCGTTCCTAGGTATGACAGTAGGTCAGTTCACCGAGGTGAGGTAGGCATCTATGCCAACTCTGATCTAAGTGGGCACCCTATAAAGGGGGGGGTTTAAGTTGTATAGGGCCTTGTAATAAACCTGAAAAGTGTCTGGGATCTCCACAGTAGTATAGACTTTCGAGCCATTGTTAGTTGTAATTGCTGAGATGAAGGTTTGGGATATGCATGTTCTGATGGCATGCGCAAGGGCCCTATCACATTTTTGGTAAAAAAAAGTTTGTTGCTTATTGTCTTTTTTTGTTTTGAATGAAGAGGGGGACTAAAGCTGTTCCTGGAGATCAGCTATTTCCACATCTAGCTGTGGGGGCAGAGTGGTTCCCTTATGTTGAAGTTCAAGCTGCTGAAGTTTAGAGAGTAGAGATTTGGTATCTTGTAGTCTCAATTGTGTGAGCCTGTGGCCATGTTTTTTCATTATACCTCATATTTAGCATTTATGACACTTGAATTGAATGAGCTTGTCTCTGATGGAAACCAGCTGTTTAACGGGAATGTCCCACATATCCGTCCAGTCTTCGTTGCCTAGGACCGGAATGTCTAGAAGCCATTTATGCCTAAGAGGACAAATCAAGGAGTGCCAACAAGAGATGATTGTAAAATATGGAAGTCTGCCTCTCCAGAGAGTCCAATCAGAGTAGCGCTTTCTGATCAGTACATTTGAGCTGTAATGGGTGATTGTGGAACTGGCAGCCAAAGGTGTGAGCAAATCTGCAAGTGTCGAACCATAGGTAATAAGTGGGGGTATTGTATTTGGTGCAGAAAGAGGTAAAGGACATAAGAGTTCCATTTTCAACTTTATCTGGGATCGTTCTAATCCTATATTTGGACCAGACTTGTGGGTCTGGTAGGCGATAGAAATTATGCAAATTTGGGGTATTCCAAAGTGGTGTCTGGGGTGGAAAGGACTGGTGAGTCGTGGGGCTGCAAACAAAGACCCGCTGTCCAAGCTTTGCTTGTGTTTTGCATGGGTTGTTGGAAAGGGAGTACGGAGCTTTATGACCACAGAAAAGTTGTACTTGGAGGGCTTCCAAAGAGCCCAGAATTGCTTCCTTCAGCATCATGCAGGATTTGGAGACCTCCAGCTGGAGCTAGAACTGGGCAGTCACTAGCTGTGTTTGTAAGGAAATATTTATGACAGTGTGCTAAACCCCCATGTAGGGATGGTCCCATGAGGGAGGTTAGTTTGTACCGTGGGGTTTTGGGGACCCCGAAGGAAGGAAACCTCTGATTTAATTGAGTGAAAGAAGATTTGGGGATCCATTGTGGAGAATGGCGGAACTGGATAAAGGAGAACACAGTAGACTTGTGCCAATTGATTTGAAGTCCTCTAACCTCCGAAAAGGTGTTAAGTAACTGAAGAGCACCCATCAGGGATAGACCCGCATCATGAAGGAACGATATAAAAGGTTATCCGCGTACAGGGTGACCCGCTTCTTCTCGCAGCCCACTCTAATTCCTCAAACTTCAGAGGAGATACGGGGGGGCCTTAGCAATGGGTTCAACCACCAGGCCCCATCCTGTCACAGCATCCCCCAAAGGTACAACCGTTCGACAGTTCAAACTCCCTTTCCATATCCATGGAAGCCAGAACCCTAGTACCAGAGTGAAGGTGCTGCGCATGGATGTTTGTAAAGAGCCTGCCGATTATTTAATGTCTGTAGGGAAATGGGGCATACAAAAAAACAAAGGGGGCGCAAACACCTAGCACATTACCCTTAAGAAGTTGTTGTACAAAACAAGCATAAAACTTACTCACAAACATATAAGCTTAAAGGCAAAGAGATGCATAAAGCCTCATAGAAGAGTCTGCTCTTCGCCTCTACTTTTAGACCGGACGACAAGAAGCTGCTGGCGCATTTCCGGGATCCGGTCCCCTTCTTCAGAGCTAGCCATAGCTCTGAGGAAAGGGAATGGATCCCCAAATCGTGGCAGCGGCTTCTTGTCCTGTCTCCAGGTAGAGGTGGAGAGAGGACTTTTTTTTTTTTTTATGTGGCTTTATACATCTCCTATTCCTAAACCTTTTATTGTACAAAACAAGCATAAAATATGCTCACAAAAACATGTAAGCTTAAAAAAGGTTAAGGGTAATGCACTACGCGTTTGTGCCCTCTTTGTTTTTTGAGGGGGGTTTGTACAGTGCTGGATTCCCCCAATCTTAGAACAACCAGGGTTTAGAAGGGGAAAAATGGTGCAGCCCTTCTAAGACTGGCCATATACGGTTATGTGATGGGTGCCTCCACTCACTTCTGAGCTCAAGTGTGTCCGATTTGACTATAAAATTTCTATGGGGCATACAACCTGTCTAATCTGTATCTTTTTAGGGAGCTGATGGCCCAGATAAGTCTGGAGTTTATTAGTTTAGTTAGAATCTTGAGGTCACAGTTGAGAGCAATAGGCCTATAGGAGGTGCACAATGTGGGATCCTTCCGGCTCTTGTGAATTAGAGTGATAAGTGCTACTCTCATAGAGGGCAGAAGAGAATCTGTTTTCAGGCACT